GGACTTTCGGATTACAATGCACCTCTCAAAAATAATTATCTTGACCAGGAGGTGCACTCAATAGAAAGTTTTTATTGTGGAAGCCATGTAGAGGTGTAATAATTAGGAGAGTGCGTTATTTGGGGCAAGGAAGGTAATTAAAGTAACTAATATTGAAAGAGTTAAGACTTGTTGACTCATTAGCTGCACATGTGTCACACTGTTCTTGATGAATGAAATTTCAGCTATTAGAAAGTCGTTAATTCTGCACTAAGTTATTAAGAATTATCAATATTGTCTACATAATAATACGATTAATTTCAAGGATATACAGTACGCATTTAATGGCTTGTAATGATCAACTCTATTTTTAGATTCTTCAAAAAATAAAGTCAACTAAAACAGAATCGTAAGTTAGTTTTTTTACTTTTAAAAATTTTACCTTATTATTTAGTGATTCCAAGGCCCCAAGACTTCAGATTAACTTTATATATAACCTTTAATTGTGTCATAATAAATATTAAATGATTTGAAATAGAAATTCCTTGATAACATTAGATATCTTTCATACTATGTGGTGTTCAAATTCTTGTATATAATAGTTTTGAGCACTTCCTTTTTTCACTTGAGTTGCATAAAATTTTGAGCTGACTCCGATCAAAATTGGATCTTTTATCACTGAATTTGCTTTAATCTGTTTATTGTCTTCTAGCTAAGATTCAAATCCAGACCATATTTCATTTCAAAACCTGAAAAATCCAGATAACTGTGCCTGTAATTGAGGTAACTAGTCATTATACAAGTTCACAAGAGTGAAGACTAGAGGGTGGACCAAGGGACCAATTTTATCCGACCAACCAAATCAACTTAACGCCTTAATGGGAGTCATTATTTGATCATAGATAATAATGAATGCCATTTCATAAAACACCTGCGCACCTCCATAATAATCATCATCTCTTGTAAATAGTCCTTTAAAAGCTAGTAGGATGATTTCAATCTGTTTATTGTCTATTAGCCAAGACTGAAACTCATAATGTAATCAAGATAGCTTGAGAGGTTTTTAGCCATTGTTGTATAGATTGTTGTTGACAAGAGGGCAGTACAGGGTACACTGGTAGTCTGGTACAGTGGGACCAATTTTTATCTGACCATGTATGGATTGACCACTCATATCACACTGGTTCACTTAAACCTAGTGCCTTAATGGTAATTATTACTTTGATCATAGTAATGAATGCCATTGATATTACTATGATGCAACAAAATTTTTTCACAAAATTTATCTAGTATCAAAAACTTTTAAATTATTAGTAAAGAAATAAAAATCTAATACAAACGAACAAAAGAAATCCCATCAATAAGTCATAAATCAATCTTGCTTAGGATGAGCAATTTGTAAAACTGATAGTTTCTCTCCTTTAGTAACTGTCAAATGATCTTTGTTTCCTTTGCGATCCTCTGTTGCCTCTACACCAAACAACGGTTTGATGATATCAGGTAATTTATAATCCTGTGAAAGAGAGAGAGAGGGGAGAGAAAAGAAGAAAATAAAAATAAAATAAAAAGGAGTTTATAAGGAAATGGAAAAAAATTGTAAAGTGAAATTAGTAATAAATGTACATGAATTAATTTACTTTGAAATGCTTCATTGATTTTTGTCTATTTTTGTTTTCAGTTCCTCTTTCTTCTTTCTCTCTCTTTCTTTCTGCTGCTCTAGTTTCTTCAACTCTCTTTGTCTCTTTTCTTCTTCCTTCATCAATCGCTTCTCTTCTTTGCTTAATCTGCAATGAAAAAAACCTAAATTAGCTACCTGTTTGCATATTTTAAACATAATCAAAATGGCTTAAAAATTAATACATGTATTAGACAAAATATAAATGAGCTGAAACTTTATATGCAGTATAGGTATGAGTACATGTACAGTATGTGTATTAAAAATCATAAAAATGGCAAACTCTCTCCTTGCAAAAATTGGCCTGTTTGACTCTGTACTATAGTACAGGGCAGGGCGTTTGGCTTATATTTTGAGCAACTTTTAAAATTTTTTAACATTTCAATTTTGATTGGAATCAGTTCAAACTTTCTACGCAACATAAGTACATGTATATACATCAGATAAAGTTATAAATTT